CCCAAAGGCTCAGAGCAAACTGCAGACCAAGGATCAGGGCCACACGGAGGGCTGAAGCCTCATGCCCCTAATTTTCCCAAGATCCTTATTTCAGGAAAATTTGATTAAAATGAATTGGTTTGGGTCCGGTCCGCACTGTCAGCCCACCCTTCAGCCTGAACTAGGGAAATAATCGGCTCAATTCTCTACCAAGCTTCAGTTATCCAAACCCAGAAGAGTTCTGCCCAGCTCCCAGAACGTCGTCGAGGCAATTACAGACCAGGTGATAAATGGGAGGGGGGTGGGGAAAGAGGACAGGGGTGGGGGACAGAAGTGGCCTGCCCCAAGGGTAAGAGTAGAAGTGGAGGCTTTAAAGCCTCAACGTCATGCCTTCACAAAAGCCACCCTCCCCACCCAGCCCAGCCCCCTTCTAGAGCTGAAGGGCTCCCTCTGTTCCACCACCTCCAGAGGAAAGGGAGGGACAGCAGGACATTTTGTTTCCCAGAAAAAGCTCAGGTCAAATTTCAAGGACAAAAGTTAGCACTTGGTCTGGGAAAGAAAACTCTACCAAACCGTGTGAATAGGGGTGGGGGGTCGGTCCAGAATGTTTACTCCGGGTGCCTGGGAGTGGGGACAGGGACAATCAAATTCTGACTCCCCCTGCCAGGATCTGGCTGGCAGGATATGAGCACCTCCACATCCCAGAAGTAACTCGACAACCACCTCCATTTCTCCTCTGTCCAAATATGAGGGGGGAGGGAGGCTGTGGTACTAGTTTGTGGGCCCCACCCACCATGCCCCCACCACCACTGCATCAGATTTGGTCTGAACGGAAGAGGGCGGTGCCATGAAGGGCTTCCAGCCCAGAGATGTGGCCCAAACCGTTAGCAGAGGGACTGGTAGCCGGCTGGTGTTGCCATGGCAACTTCCTCCCTGCACCGGATCGAAGCATCCATCCTCTGGGCAAATCAGAGCTGGCTGCTCCAACTTCTCCGCCCTTCTCCTGAGCGGGCGGGGGAGAACTGGACGCTGAAACCACTTGGTCAGGCTCAGGAACCCCATTGCCAATTTCAGACCCCAGTGCAATAACTCCCAGTGCATCCACTAGAAAGGAGATCCACCCCTGCTCCCAGCTATGCCCCAGGACACAGCGTCAAGGGCAGACCTGTGGATGTGGTCCAAACGAGTGGTCACGGAAATGGGCAGCCAGAATGCTTCCTACCCTCTTGTTTGGCATACAAGTCCCCCAAGTCTCCATCTTAAGAACCGCTTCAAAGGAGGGTCCAGCTTTACCATAATAGTAATCATAAGGCAAAAAAAAATTGCCTAGTAAGATTATTAATAATAACATTTTGAGAATCAGTCTTTTACCTGCCCAAACCCACAAATTCTTCTTTACAGTCATGCTCAGAAACAACTCTCACCTGGTATTAAGACAGATCAAAGTGAACATGCATTGCGATCTACCTCATGCCAGGTTCTGTCCTGAGTCTTCGAACAGCAAGCAGTATGTTAATTAAAAGCATAGATGCTTGAGTCAGAGTGCCCAAGTTCAAATCGCAACTCCCTCACTTCCTGGCTGAGTGACCTTGAACAAATTACTAAGTCTGTGCCTCAGCTTTCTCATCTGAAAATGGGGGTGTTAATAGGATATTAAATTTTACGGGGGTGCTATGAGAAACACTGACCCTGTGAGGGTTCCTGCTGTTATTTACTTCCTCATACAGTTGAGAAAAACGGGGTCTCATGTCTAACTCCTCCCCATCCCAAACCTCCCCAATCACAAACTCAGTGTCAGCAAGGCTGAGCAATAAACCCAGGCACAAATGCCCTGGAGCCTGCCTCCCTAAAGCCCCTGCATCCTCGGGAAAAGGGCAAAAACAACATTCTAAGAAAAGCAGGCACACAGAAGATGCCCCTCAACAGGAATCTAGGAACCTGCAGTGACCAGCCTCCTGGGCCAGATGGTGGCTAGAAAGGTGTGGAAAGAGGAAGGTAGGTTCTTTGGCCCACCCCAGTGTCCAAAGCCCCCAAGTCCAAAGCAGGAATGCGCTCTGCCCATTTAAGGCTAATGGAAAGCAGAGGGGGAACAGTTCCCTCCTTAGCCCATTCCCCAGGAAACCAGTGGAAGAGGGCAGATGAGCCTGAGGATGGCTGTGGATGGGAAGGCGGCCTTCCACGGGAGCTGGGAGCAGCAACAAAGGGGAGCCTCCCAGATGAGCCAGAGGCCTGTCAGACACACACACTTCCGAGAGAGCCATCAGGGACAGGGGACAGACCAGGCAGTAAGAGGGCCACAGGAGCGGGGAGAGACAGGTGGAGCCAAGCCTGCACCCGACAGCCTCCTGCCCAAGCCAGCTCTGTCCAGGAGCCCAGAGACTCTTCCAACTGCGTTTAGAAATTAGTTCAGCCAAGTGCTTCCTGAAGGATGCATCCAAAAGGCTTCTTTTAGAAGGAAATTAATGACTGGGAAGAGCAAGAAAAATTAAGCACCAAGACAACATTCCCCACTTCCGACTTTCACCAGACACTCATTATTCTTCCGGAAATGAAAGTTGACTTTCTCCCTCCCCCTCCCAAACTCCTGGCAGCCCTAGAGATGAGCAGACAGTGAGCTCAAAATGCCCACACTGAACTCTCAGCCACCAGCACTCCCTGAGGCCTCCTCACCTGGGCACCATTTTCTACACAGTGAGATCTAGCTTTTTAAAACCATTCTCTTTCAAAAAGAGGATTGCTGGTGTTCTGAGAACTGAGAACCTGGTTTTAGTCTCAGATTTGTACCTGCTACATTGGTTGACCTTGGGTTATAAACACACAGAAGCATACACACACCACATACCAGGGCTTCAGTCACACAAACACACACACACACACGCATGCATACACATACACACTCACATGTATACAAATACACACCCACACCGACCCACTGAGAGTCTAGAAGGGACTGCATAGGATGATTTCTAAATCTCTTCCAAGTGCAACACTTAAGAACTTAAATCTTCTTGAAAACAATATAAGGTGAATCTTTAAAAATATCACTGATATTACATGCAGTTTTCTGTTGACTTAAGTGAAACCTAGAGCAAGCCACCTGCAGCCAAGGTGTCTGACCCATGACATGGAGCATGACTCTGGAGAAAAAACAAACTGTGCTGCCTCCAGTCCTCCTGCAAAACCATGCTCCTGCCCAGACAGGCTCCTGAGACCTAAGTGGCCTGCTGAACTTTAGAAGTGCCAGGCCACCTGGCAAGAGTTGGGAGCCAGCTTACCTGGCCTAGGGGCTTCCTGCCCTACCTTTTTCTCTGCAATTGTCACCTCCTCCAGACCCCCAAGGTAGCCTGATTTCCTCCCTTCAATTTTGCTCTAGTGGAGAACACTGCATTAGGGAGACTCCCTCAGCTATTTCAAGGGGGAGATTGAAGCCTCTGGGCCTCAATTATTTGCTCTGTAAAATGGCAATCCCATAAAATGGCTCTGTAGTAACCATCTTACCCCCACTCCCACCTTCAGGTCAACAACAAGAAGGTCTGTAAGGTGTCTGCCCCATTCATCACCAGACCACAGATTCTGAAGACCTCTCCTTTTCCCCACCTGCCTCCTACAGGTGAGTACCCATCACCCATCACTCCATTCCTTGGCAGAACCTAGAGAGAAGGGTTGACCAGATAAGGGTCCCAGCAGGCAGAGAGTGGAATCCTGGGCCCTTGAACTCCCCAGAACTGTAGGCTAAATTCTGTAGATTAAGCACTTACGTATTTTGGGGAGAGAGAATCCATATTTTCATCAGAGTCTCAAAAGTGCAGATGAAACCTTCTTGCTCCTCCCCAACACATACTCTCCTCTCCTTTTTGTCCCCTCACTGAATTCAAATACTCTCAGATTTTCAGCTCACAAAATACTTTTAACTCCACCCTACACCATACAAAGCCTTGTGTGGAGGCATTGCCATCCTCATTTTCACAGATGAGCAAAACAGAAGCTGGAGTGGGGGGGGGGGGGGTCATGTCTTACCCAAGGTCACGGCTCATAAGAATGAAGACTGAAACCTGATTCTGACTCTCAAGCTGGCACTCCTTGGAAAACTCTCGCCCAAGCCCTCTAGCTACCCCACCTGTTGTTGGATTCACTTCCTCACCCCAAAACCAAATCTGGAGCTCTCAGGTTCCCTCTGCCTGGTTTCAGGGCCCCAAAAAGCTGTTTCCGGCGGGAGCCTCCCGCCCCTGGGGCTCTGGCTAAGGTTGCACGCAGGCCTAGGAGCAGCAGGTTCTGGGCCGCAGGATGGTGGCCTGGTTCAGCCCACCCCAAAGGGCCACTTCAGGGACAAGAGCACGCGAGGTCAGGGGCACACACTAGCGCGCGCGCAAGTGTAGAGTTGGCGCCGCCTTACACCTCCTCCTGGAAGACGCGTTAGAAAAAGGAGGAAAGGGCATCACCTGGCAGGTTCCCGGTGACTGCCCCAGTCAGATAAGAACCTAGAGTCCAGAGCCCCAGACTGTGGGGGAAGGGGAGGAGAGTCAAATGGGGGCGCTCTAGGCCTTGGGCGCCAGGCCGGGGTCTTGCTGGGAGCCTTTGGGTGCAGCCAAGACAAAGATGGAGAGGCAAGGTCTGTGCGCCACCTCCAATGGCGGGGGGCGCGTCGGAGCCTCAAGGGGTCTGAAGAGTGGGCACATTCTAGAGACTCAGGGACGGTGATAGGTCAGATCTAAGAACAAGACAGGGGGCATCCGGAAGGCGCAGGTGAGTAGGGAGAGTTGGGTCCAGGCGGCCCAAGGGCCCACCTGCGAGAAAAGGGTGCAAACGATCTAGAGGTCCCTGGGGGGAAGTCTAGAACACGGCCCATCCTAGAGCCCCTGCGGTCCCGTGGAATGGGAAGGAGACCCTGGGGAAGCTTCCCGAGAGGGGCTGGGGTGGAGAGAAGACACAGGCCACCTCTGAGGGTGCACCGGATCCAGGAGGGGGCCTCCGGATCTGGATCCCGGGACACCTCCGGGGTCGGGGGCGGGCCGCGCGCTTACCCGCGTCTTCGTCGTCGAAGGAGTTCATGCACGGGAAGTAGATGGCGAGCGCCTCGAAGGAGGCGGACAGGCTGAGGCGGCTCTGCGAGCGCTCCATGCCCGCGCCGGCGCCGGGCGCCTCGGCCGCGCCGGCGGCGGCGGCGGCGGGCGGCTTGGGC